GCCTCCCAGCCGGCCCCTGCCTCAACAGCTAGCCCCCCGACAGCAGTCCAAGCCACCGCAGCGGCTCCAGCCCCAGTCTGGTCTTCAGCTTGCCACCGAGCCGCACCATTTCTGCAGCCAAGACACTTGAGGTTAACGTCCAATCAGCATGGGGCAGTTCTTGGTGTACCGACGAGTGTCCCCGCTGAAGCCCCCTACCTTCAGTGTGCCGACAGTAGTGTCCCCCGCCAAGGTTACCACCACCCTGTGCGTCACGGTGAAAGCTCCACAGGAGGTCCCAGCTCTAGGTTCCCGGCAGTGGCCACTTCCCCAGCCCCAGCCCCCTCCCCCGTCACAGTTCCCATTCCTGGTTCCTAGCGGGTCGGCCGGCGCCCACAACGCCACCCCGGGGTCCGCCCCTTGGCATGGTTACCCAAGCGTCCCCACTGAGACTGAGAAACCTAGGTGCACCGACGGTCATGGCGTCCCCCTTCTCCCAGCTCCTGAGGGTTTCGCCAATGGTGACAACACATCCTCCTTCTTCTCGTTCCCAAATGGGTTGGCCGGCGCACCAGTGCCGCCTTCGAGACTGTTCCTGTCCCTGAGCGGGTTGGCAGGTGCGCCAATGCTGATTTCAAGCCTGTTCCTGAGCGGGTCAGGACAGCCTCGATGCCACCTCTGCCCGGCAAGAGCGCTGCGCTTTAACCACTAGCCTACCAGGGACGGCTCATACACTCCCATTAGAATAAAAGAATTAAATTCTCAGGGAGAATAAAAAGGTTTGCAATTGATAACTAGAGTTTCTAAGTCTGTGTTACATGTCCTCTGTAGCACTGTGACATCTGTGCACCAACCTTCATTTATGTAGAAACAGATTCCACCTCCTCTCGTTTTCCCGGACAGCTCCATTACACGATCCGCTCTGAACACCTGGAAACCCGATACTTGTATTGCTCTGTCCCTCGATGGAGTCGCTGAGCCAAGTCTCTGTGAAGCACAAAGCAGCAGAGCATGCGAATTCCGAGTTGGTCCTGTTGACGAGAAGGAGTTCATCCATCTTGTTGACCAGGGACTGGACGTTCACTAGGTGGATAGACGGGAGTGGAGTCTGTGGTCCCTCTCTGGCATAGCCTCACCAAGGCGCCCACTCGTATGCCATGCTGGCGCTTCTTCCAGGTCCCGTATATGGCAGCTGCACCTCCGATCAGAATGTCCATACAGCATCCTTCGTTCAGAAAAATCAGAGAAAGGTAGTTCTGTCTGAGTTGTCCAATATTTAACAGTTCTTCTCTGTTAAAAATAAATCCAGGATGGGTTGCAAAAGACTGAGAAAACAAAGAAAAACAACAAACACAAGAGAGAGCAAGTAACCAAGGCTGCTATTGCTGTCAGCGCCAATCTAACATAAGTTCCTAAAATAATGCCTAAAATGATAATTCACCATTGTAACATTGTAGATAAATCTGGAAACAAGAAAAAGCATGACATGGGCCCTTTAAGCTTTTAAAAAAAATTCTGTGCTTGCAGCGTGTTCTTTCATGAAGAATTCTACAACTTTGAATTATCTTCAAATTATTATTATATCATAACTTGATAATGTTCAGATTATAACCAGTGCAAATGTATAACGCTACCATGGACATAAAGTAGTATTTAAAAGGTGAAAAGGAAGCTTACTCCTCTTTTGTAGTCAGTGAGCCAGGATGGAGTTGCCAGGCTTGTAGTCACTGATGACCTGGATGCTCTTCCACATACATCAGGGGTCAGAGTTTGTGAAGTGTTCCTCGACCTTTAGCTTGTAGCAGTGGTTGGCCTTCTTGATGCCCCTCCTCAGGTTGGCCCTGGATAAGCAGTAGGCCTGTTCACCACCAGATCTGAAGGCAGAGTTGCAGGCCTTTTTTAGCTGCACCTTCTTGTTCATCCATGGCTTCTGATTTGGGTACGTGCTGATCGGTTTCTGTGTTGTGACACTGTCAATGGTAGTGTTACTATTGTCCAACACAGAGGAAGTATAGGTGTCAATGTCCATGTGAGAGTCACAGGTAGCCCAGGAGACAAACATACTCCAGTCCATGAGGTGAAACCTGTCCTGAAGTACAGAGTCTATCCTCTCTGGTCACACTTTGATGCTCCTCATTGATGGCTTCACATGGCAGATGAGTAGTGAGTACTTGGGAATGAGAAACAAAGAAAGGTGATCTGACTGTCCCAAGTGGGGGAGGGGG